GGGAGCCGGTGCCAAACAGCCAAACAGTTTAGCCAAATCAAAGCTTCTGGGAGCCGGTCTCCAAGACCTGCATGGTAACCAGTATCTCCAGCTGGTTTTTATGGCTGTGTCTTATTCCAATACAGCCCTCAAATCTACCACTTAGAGCCGCTGCTGCTCACTGGCCTGAACCATCATCACCACTTCCTGGATGATCGCCATGGTCTCTGGACTTGTGCTCTTGGCCTCTTTTACTTAGTTATCAAAACAGGAGTCAGAGTAAGCTTCAGCCACTGCAAATCAGATACTGCCAGCCCTATGTGTCAGGGCTCCCCAGCTTGCTCAGGGTGACACCATAAAATCCACCTGAGGTCTTCAAGAGGCTACCCTGCACGGCCCCTCTTTAGCTCTCTGACTGCATCTCCTCTCTGCTTCCTCATTTGTCACAACCACACGCCCAGATCCCCCAGTGCCTGCTGCTGCTGCTCCTGTTCATAGCCTCTGCACGTGTCCCTCCTGCTGCTGGAAGCCATCTTGCTTACTAGAACTTTCTACAGTGATAAAGATGGGGCTGTCATACACACTCCAACAACGCTGGAAATTTTGCTGTTGCTAGGGTGAGTTGTGCAGTGGTTTCAGTCACTGACATATCCGCAAGAACTTAGAAACAGTGTTTGGCACACAGTAAATAAGTTTCCAACAATATTTGGTAACTGAATGAATAAGTGACTATTAAGTAACGACCTTCTAAACCAGCCACTGTGGCATTTGGGCTGATAGTGGAACTGGGTGAGAGTGTTGGGAAGTGTGAATAGTTCAACGCCTCTGAAATTTCCTATGCTTCTAAGGTTCTGAAATACTCAAGCCCAAAGAGGAGCTGTTACTATGCCAAGCACTGGTATTTTCAATGCTAGTTATTGCAGTCTTTGTGGAAATTTTTCTCTTCCTTCCTTCCTTTTCTTCCTTCCTTCCTTCCTTTCTCTTTCTCCTCCTGTCAAGAAATATAATTCTTGTATTAAGGTTGTATTAAGAAGAAAAACCCAACATTAAAACAAAGAACTACTTAAACACAAAATTACTCCGTGATAATTGATTGGCTTAAAGTTATCAAGCTGACTTCCTTAGCTGTAACCACCTGGAAATTCTTATCTAATACTTCGATGCCCTTTATGCTAAGCTACATAAGAAGATAGAAATCTAGTTAACAAAAGCATACTTTTCTTACAAAAGCGCAGACGATTTTATTATATCCAGGAAAATCCATGACTAACTCCCCAAAAGTAAATAATGTATGACTAGCATAGGAAATAATGTATAAGCAAAGTATAAGATAACATATAAATAAAAATCCCTGAATAAATTCTTTGACATTCATCTTGGCCCTCAAAGGATGCTTCTGAAATGAACAGGAGAATGGCTATGGTACCAAAATGTAAATTTCGTCTAAGCTGCAAGGCATCTATCTTGCTAAGGAACCTTTACAGAATAGACTTGAATACAATTTTATTTCAATGAATATTGAGTGGTACCATTTTTCTGGTTGATCTTGGGAGAAGATGTTCAAAACTGTACTAAGTGTGCCTGTGACTCTAATGGGATAGGAGAGGAGTTATTAGTGTGCGGTTTAACCACTCCCAGCCCACTCTGCCCCTACCCGGCAGAAAATACAAAGCTTGACACACATCATCCGACCATTTCGCCGTGATTACCGCAGGTTAAGCACTACCCTCTGAAACAGATGGTCAATTGCCAGTCTAATCGCAGGAACTCTTATCCTTCCCCTCATCCACGGAATATGCTTTTGATACTCCTCATGCCAGTAAATTGCTACAGGCTCAAATAGTGCCCTGTGCATCACCGAGCAACAGAATAATTGAGGCTGTCAGACAGCCTCTCTTTCCCCATCCTTTTCCTTTGTATAGGAAAATTGTTCTACTTTCATATAATTAACGTCCAAGAACACAGCACAAGGGAATACCACGACACAATCTTACAACCCCGACAAAATGAAAATCGTAACAATATGGAAGATAAAGGATTACCAATAAATTTAGAGACCCTAGAGTAAATAATGTCTGTTTTCCCCAGCGTACTCTGTCATGAACCAGAATTATTTAGAAATCTTGTTTTAGTTGAAACTTTGTCACATATGTGCAGGGTGGATGATATCACTGTTATGGAGCTCTATGACAGACAGGGCTCTGAATCCTACCTTTGGGCTATTCGTCCCTACTTAGAGTAGAAAATGCTTGTAGATAAAAGGACACGGATTGTCTACCAAGGCTTAGATTTTCTCACATCAAATAGGTGCAATGATGTGGGTTTAACAGAAGAACAAAACTGAATTCAAGGTCAGCTATGACATTTATTGGTGATTTTATCTTCACGAGTTCAGACTGCAATGTCTTTATCTTCCTCCTTAGACGGTTAAATTAGGTACTAAACATAGATCAGGATGTTATAGTTTATAGATAGTGAACAAATTATGGCTCTGGTTATTATTATTATTATTAAAATATGCAACTAGTATCCCTTACAGTGTGTTGTTTTTATTGGCTTTATTCTGTTTTATTTTGCTTGGTTTTGTTCTCTTTAAAATAAAAAAAATAAATTATACAACTAACATAATTATAATATTTAAAAGAATGAATTCACACGAGAAAATACCCATTAAAAAACATAACAGCAATTTGTTGAAGTCTTTTTTACTGTTTCATATTTTTTTATTTAATAAATTCAACTTTATTCTTAATGAAAACAGTTGTTTCAGTTTTAATAATAAAAGTTCCTCCAAAGTTACTGATACCTCCTCCTAGAAAAAGCAATAGGACTGTGTATTAGTTTACATAAAATATAAAAGTACTTTTCAACCATTTTATATTAAGTGCAAACAGCTCTGTCAATCTAATTTCTCCTAATTTTTTAAAATCCTCGTTAATATGAAAGAGAACTAATTCTCATTTATCAAATATTGTAAGAACAGTTTCATAAAGAATTGTTCTGATATTTTTATATGTGTTTTCTTTTTTGAAATGGCAAGTTGCTCCTTAGAAAGACTGAAGGAACTTCTTATCTTGAAAACCACAAAATTTGAATAGAAACAAGGACAAACCAGCCTTCCCAGTCTCCTTTATGTCCACAAATCATTGCAATTTAAACTCCTTTCCATAACAGCTCCCTTTTTACTGAAATGACATGGGTTCGCATGCACGGAGAAACTTCGACCAGGTTTAAAATCACTACACTTTCCTGCGTTTAAGAATCAGCAGTGATCATTTTTACTGAGAAACCTCTCAAAGTACAATCATCCCAGAAAAAAATGACTAGCCACATTGCTGGAGGCTTTCTTTTGTCATTTTCCCTATTAACTGTTTCACCTAAACACCTTTCTCTGGAACTTGATTTATTTTTTATTTTTCCTTTCGGTACAATGTTAGAGAGTGTCTCTGAGTGGAAAATCAGATAGAAGAAAGAATGGGAGGAAAAAGAAAAACTGAAAACTTTTCCCTGTTGTAGATGTTGGTGACTGTCTTGCCTCACACACCAGGAGAGTGTAACTCAGAGAATAAGTGCAAATCTGCCAGAAAGCTCGGAAAAGTGAAGTCTCCTTTAGACACAGCGAAAAGGCAGACAGAGCTTCATTATGTTGCCATCCCTTCAGTTCCTCCGTGAATATGAGGTAGCAATATTCTTTTAAAAGATACCTCTCATCCGAGCGTCAATCCCTCCCTGGCTTTCAGTAAACTCTGAAGGCTTGCTTTGCCAATTTTTCACTGACACCAAGCCAGCGAGCTCCCCGTTCCCCAGGAGGTGGCAGGTCGCTCATTAAGCTCCCAGAAGGAGGTGTATTTTTCTTTCACCACCCTATTTATCATATCTTTCCTTGAGAGGGAAGTCCAAATGTCCCTAACCACCTTGAGTCTTGAAGAAATGCACAGCACGTTGCTAATCCCCTCCCCAGGACCCCCTGACTCCTCCACCACGGGACTGAGAGCTCAGATTTGTACTTTAACTGTCATTAATCCCACTGCAACATGCTACAGGCATTAAGGTAGTTACCAGTCCTCTCGCTGATGAATCTACAGAAGGAAGAGAAAGGAAGTTGGCAGGGTTCCCGACAAAAAGTGGGGAGACTAGGAGGGAGCCGCTCCTCCTGTGTCAACCAGCAGCCACAGGGCAAGGTGCTCTCACCATTTTATGATCTACTGTACTTGGCATCTGTTCTGGCCCCGGAGACAGCATCTATTTTTGGGGATCGGTTTTATATTCCCAGATTGCCACTTTTCCCTCTGCCTCGCTGTCTGTTAAATATCCTGCAGTATATTATCACTTCATTTTGCTTCGGTTATTTCCTCTGACACTGGTGTGGGACAGTCTGGACTCCGAGTGACTTCCCCTCTCAGACTCAATCTGTCTAAATGTCACAAGGTGGGGGGCGGGGATGGAGGACTCTAAAAATCCCTGCAATCTGGCGTTTCTCGGGAAGTATTTGATAGATGCTGCATTTCTGAGGCTCCATGTGCCGCAGACAGGGAGCACACAGTGAGGGTTGAAGAGCCTGTTGATTCATGTTTGTCTCTTTCTGAGAAGGGACACTATTTTCTCACCAACTTCAAACCTAAAAGCAGAGGCTCTCCAGGTATGAAGATTTATTTGTAGTGGATATTTATTGGGAGTGAGGCTTCTAAACTTTAGGTCCAGATCTGAGAAGTCTGCTAGTAAAAGTGGGCATTTATAAAACATTATTAAACCTGTTCAATAACTTAGTAAAACTAACAACGCTTAAAAAAATTACTATTTCCTTTTTCTAGACCTCTCCCCCTTCTCCCCTTCTCCCCTTCTCCTTTCTTTCTCCCTGTTTCCAGTTATTTCTCCTCTTTCCTGCCTCTGTTCCCTCCCTCCCCAGCCCGGAAGATTGTCATAGCTGGTGACTTAAAAGGGCGAATCTCAGAAGAGACCTTATTGAAGGTTTTGCTGCTCGCCTTCTGGGATAACTGCTGGCACTGAATGTTTTCAGGCTATTTCAGACCGTCCTAATTATAGGCTATCAGGAATAGAATTAGAGATGGCCTAACTAGGTCAACAGAATCCAGCGATAACACGCTGCCATGCGGTGGGGTCCCTGGCAGGAGCGAAGCCTTTTACCCGCTGACACCAGGGAAACCTGCTGAGCCCAGGAGCTGCCACCACTGGCCCAACAATGCTGAGTAACGCTGCCCGGAGACAGGAAGCGCCTGCTGCACCGCAGATTTCATAACCTTCTGACCAACTCACAGTGGCCTTTCATTCCTCTCCCCGGCTCAGAAGGAGGAAGGTGAGCTCAGAAAGACAGTGAGCGTGACCAGGGGAAGAGGAGGGGTGCGGAAGGAGGCGGTCACTACACAACTCATTTCACTGTCATCTTTTGGAGGTGCCCCCTCCCTCATCTTCAAAGTGGAGAAACTGAGGCACTCCCAACAAAAACAACCTTCTGCCCAAGAAAACAACACCAATAAATAACAGATCCAGGATTCTTTTTTCTTCTTTCAAGGGTTCTTTATTACTAAAGTCTGTGTGCTTTTTGTAACTCTAAACTGAATTCTTAAATCTCTCTTTAGAGACTTGCTTTTGAGGATTGTCAGCCTTCAAAGCAATTGCCCACTCATCTGGCTAGGACGTATGTAAAGCAGAAGGGAAAACCATTCCAGATTAGGCAAAAGATCACTAATTTCATTCTCTATCCCATGGATAAAGACATATGGTAATCTAATAAAAATTGTCATTACCAAAAACTAAAATGGTAGTCTCATAAATATTTTCTTTTCACTTATTATCTTCAGAAATTATTTGCAACTTTTTGTTTTTACTTTAAGTTGTTTTGCATGTCAGGAATTATGATCACTAAAACTTTTTTTTCCTAAGCATTGAAGGAGGAGGAGGATATATGGAAATATCAACCAAACTTCTGTAGCCACGTGTCACAACACCCAAGTCTAAAATATAAACCATTTGCTTTCCTCATAATTATTCTTTTGTAATCTGTAGCCATCAAAGTATACAGACTCTCGTGAGTTCAATTCATGATAAAAACGATACTGATTTTTAATAAGTGATCTTCAAATGTATTTTTAAATTGATAGAATTTTCAAGGAAAGAAATCATATTTTTTTCAAGTTTGGCAGAGTTCTGACCGAGAATCCAGTCTCTCCTTTTGATGCAGGGTTACTTTCCAGAAGAACTGCCAATCATCCATTACCTTCCTGGATCGGCAGAGCTGTCTGGGCTTTCCGAGCCCCTGCTTCCTGAGAATTCATGACTCCTTCGCTGATCCAGACGGTCTCTTTCGTTCCCTTCCACTCACAAAGCAGAGGCTGAGCGTGGAGCCTGCCTCTGGGCTCCTTCCAAGCGTTGGTCCCCCACTCATGGGACTGAAGGCTGATGGGCCTCTTTCATCCCTGTCTGCGTGTTCATGAGTTTCTGTCTTCACTCAGGAACAGGATCCCGGCATGTCCCTCCACCCTTCCACACCCCATCACCCAAACAGCTCTGCATGCACCCGCATTGGGTCCAGCCTGGCTCTGACATGAGGCGTTGGCCAGGTCAATCTAATAATCCATACTCTCTTTCCTTTCGCTCTGATTAAAGGCTGGCTTTGTGCATCCTCTTGAGAGGTAACCTCTAATATCATATGGTAATTTTTTAAATCAACCGAAAGTAAACTGCCCAAAGGAACAAAATATCCTAGAACCTCTGGCCAAATAATTTGAGAGGCTCAGCGATAGATACAGGCCTCTGTGACTTTCATATAGAAAGACTGCACAGACCAAAAACTTACTATGGAATATTGACTTTCCCCTGAAAATACTGTGTGGTGTGTTGTGTTATGGTAACAGCAGATATCTGGGTTAACCATCATGGAAACTCAGTGCGCCCCCAGACCCTCACAGGTACAATTTTACTCACCATAAATACACACATACATGTTCTGCATGTGTGTGAAGGTCTTATATGTCCAACACATCCAGTGTGTAACTGCTAAGGTTATTCTGTCTAGGAACAAAATTGTGACTTTTCTCCAAGAAAAAAAAAATATATATATATATATATACAATTACATAGTTTGCCCCAAAATGTATATAATATTTGCCCCAAATGTATACATAATTTGCCCCAAAATGTATATACACTTCAGAAAAAGAAAAATATTGTGATGTCTTACAGATGGTTGTGCCCCTGGATGGGGGACCCTGGAGGATGTCCTATATCACAGAGGATCCACTACGCTGCTGACCCTTAGAGGAGAAATTGAAAATGGGTGTGCAGCAGTCTCTGCGACCAAGGTTACCCGGGCGGGAGTTCGCTGTACCAATAAATGTCTGGAACTGAATGACCACCACTGTGAGCACCTCTTGCATTTGCAGAGGCCGAAGGTAACTTGTATGGATCTCATGATGTCTCAGTACATTAGTATTAAAATATTTATGCACGTTTTCTTTTACTGAAATGTGTGTTTATGTTTTGGTGGAATACATACTTTTTTTTCACCCCATGTTACTCTATGTTAAATGTGAAGTGGGAGTATATTTTTCCAAACTTGCTAGTCGAAACAATAAAGTTTACATAGCTATTATTAAATAAAGATTCTTCATCTGTATGTCATGCAGCCAGAATCATCGTTTCTCAGGAGTCTGAAGCATCTGCAGGACGGAGGGTCACCAGCGTGTCCATGTGAAACCTTCGTGTTTCCATTTGCATGCTGAAGACAGAAAACATAGGAATAAAAATTTACTTTTCTTATATAATTCTAGTATCTTTCCAGTGGTATGTACATTTTATTCCCACCAATAACTGAATTGTCTAGAAAAACTGTTTTGCATTCATTAAATAACTTTTATCAAAGAAAAGAAAAAAAGAACTATGATTTCCTGTAAGAGTCACAGAGGATGGATCCTCCAAGAAGAGAAAGAAGAGCCTTGAAGTATTTGCCAAGAATTGAAATTTCTGTTGTATCTGGAGTTCAGGTGTCTTCTTGGTGAGTCTTATAAGAATTGGAGACAAAAATGAAAATTTCCCTTGTTATTGTTTATTTTGTTTGTTTTACTTTGTTTTTTAGCATTAAGAACATTCCAGAACTTTCATACTGGGATACACCTCCAGTTTCTTTTTAAATTTTAGTTATTATTATTATTTTATTTTGAGACAGGTTCTAAATCACCAAGTTGCCCGGCTGGACTCTAATTCGTGATCGTCCTGCCTCAGCCTCCCAGAGTGCTAAGGTCCTAGGTGTCAGACAACACACCTCTGCAATTTTTCTGTTGTACATTTTCAGAGAGAAATAGATTGAAACACTGAGCAGCCAAAATTATCCTTGGGAAACTGAATGCTCTATGCAGGGTCTGTCAATGACCAGATCTCTAGAAGCCTCACTATCCACTCATAGCTCAAATCAAACTCAGCTTCATCCAACTCCTGGCTTAGCTACTATCTGCAACTTGTCCCCAGCACTGTGCCACGGTGAAGATATAAGAACAGACCCTCTGTTTCCCCTGAGCTCATAATCCAGTGAGAAACAAAAATTTTAAAAAGTATAACAACACATTGTGATGAGAAGAGAGAATCTCAGAAAGTTGCTGCTGGTGAATTGAACCCACTGAGCCTTGAGAAGGAAGAGCTTTCTGCAGGTTAAAACACACAGCTTCATGAATGTCTAGGATGGCGTGGAAAGGCCCATAGCTCAGACCTGGCCCAGAGGCGGCTTCGGGAGAAGCCTGTGTGGTGGACACCACGTGTGGGCGGAAGCCCAGGGGAAGGGACAGCTGATTGGAATCACCGGGCGGGGAGCACAGCTATGGCCAGCACACTCCGATGGCTGGGTTTGTAGCTTTCAATTGTGAGGACATCCAGAAGATTCTTAAATTTCTGGAGGGAGACTCACGACTAGATTTGTGTTTTGCTGTTTGCTCTATGACTGAGAACAGTACTAGAAGGATTACAGATAACAGTTCACAGGACAGAGGAGTTCTTTATGTGGGGAACACATTTATCTCCGTCGCCATTGTTCAAAGAAGACCAAACCAAGAGGGGAAACTCACCAGGCCTTCGTGCTGCGTATATTTATTAGCACAGGGAAAAAGAGAATCAGTGCGTGGCTGCTGAGCAATTCATATTTAAACTCTTTCAGCTTAGATGACTGCTCGGTCTCATCGATCACTTATTTTTGACTCTTTTTTGGCAACAAAGACCATGTCTGTTTCTTTCCAGTCTTGTGTGACTCAGGACTAATATTCCATTTCTCAGAATACCTGGGGAAACCCCACAGTCCAAAGACTTTTTTCAGCCCAAGCAAACTTTTAATTTAAGCTTCTTTTCCAGTGAAAAATAATTTTTGAACAGACCATTTTGTGAACAGAGTACACAAAGTGACACCGTTTTATCTATTTCTTTTCCTGTTTTAGGAAATGAAGGGGGGATGAATTTTACTTAAAACATTTTCCGGCCGGATATTTCCATGTTGGGTGGTTGACATGACGGATTTTAGTCTCTCTTTTATCACTTGCGGTCTAGGCAAACACTCGTTGCTAATATAAATCAATATTTAAACTCCTTTTCGTGCAAGTTTATTTTTTTCAAATTTGTACCTGGTTCTCAGGGTGGAACCCTCAGAATAATCATTCCCAAAATAAAGCCAATGCTTTTATAGTTCCCTAAAAGTTTAGAATCATTTTACATTTGCAAATTAATCCATGAGTTTGGATTAAACGGCTACTCCTTCAGAGTGTCCCACCACTAGTTACGTGTATCCTTTTCCCAGAAAGCATGATCTCTTCAGTTTTTTTTTTTAAATCCCATAAAGATTTTGTCAAAACACTCTGACAGGACTTTTAAGAAAGTATTTGGCAGACGCTGGGCATTTAGCTCAGCAGCATAAACGCCTGCCTGGCAAGCACTAGGTCATGAGTTTGATTCCCGGTAGTAGAAAAAAAAAAGTATTTGGGGAAGGTAATTGTGTTTAAAAAGTAGAAACAGATTTTTCAAACAATCCGATATTCTCAGCACCCACACTTGTTAATTGCTTTCACAAAACATTCCCATATTGGAACACATTAGTATCCTATTTGTTCCGTGTCCTAACTAGAAGTTTTCTCCTTGTAAGTCTTGTCTCTTACCATGTTAACGAAGCGTTCATCCTACCTTTGACTGTCCCTGGCCACCTGTCCTTCCCTGTTGCTTCTCTCTGTCCTTTGTCAGTTTGAAATGTCATCGCCCATCTCGTCAGAATGGGTAGAATTTGTAAACCACAATAATACAGGCACTCACGCTAGAGCAGGAGCTGGATCATTACAGTTAACTAGCTATTCAACCCCACAGGTCAGGAGTTATGTTCTGCTTTTGAACAAAGAAACCAGCGCTCAGAAAACTTAAGCTATTTGCCTGTGGTCCTAAAACAGATTCATCGGAATCTATAGCTGATGTAGTCTCTGTTCAGTCCTAGATCTCCCAAAGCAGGAACATTCCTAAATAATTTCCTTTACATTTTCATGATCAATAAATCCTTCATTTGTGTTACGTTTACTGATCTGCTTCAAATGAACTCAGCAAACATTTACTGAGCAGAGACTCTGCACTAAGCACTTTTCAGGGTGTTTGGATAAAAAGCAGTGTGGCATTGAGCTATACCTACAAATTCATATGCTACCAGCCCCAGGGTCAGTCTCCTTCTCCTTTTCTTCCTTCTTCTCCTCCTCCTTTTCCTCCTTCTCTTCCTCCTGTTCCTCCTACCCTCCTTTCTCTTCTCTCATGTCATGCTCTGATCCACTCTCACGCATTTATTCTTCATATCCTACAGTGAGATTCTTTTCATATTTTCAAACTATACCCATCATTCAAGGCACCACTTAAATACCACCTTTTCAGTGACACTCCCTCTGTCCTTAGTGAAATAAAGCCTTGTGGCTTAACTTTTCCTATCTCTGCATTTCCTATCTGTTTGCTTTTGATCTCATCAGCCGGTTTGTAAACACAGGGACTGGGAACACATCCCCTTTGTATTTCTCACATAGCACCAAGCCTGCAGTAATTGCTGAATTAGTCTTTCCATATACTCATTAGCAGGAAGGAGCTGGAACCGGACTCATGGCCTGGCATTCTGGGAACTCTCCACGTTTCTAAGCACACGGCCATGTCCGGTATCATGAAGCATGGAATATCGCCAATCTAATTCTTCCTCACTATAAGAAAACACAATTTAAAAAATACTATTAAAACATTATAAATCATGAGAGCAGGCCACATGGACTATGGGCCATTTCCAACTGTCATCTTTCCAGACTCTACTGCAGCCACCAAGCCTTGTCTTCTGCAGAAGGGACATAGTTATGTAGAGCTATTGAAGTTGCTATAGGCACAATAAGAATGAAAGTTCTAAAGATTTAATTTACTTTCTTTAAAAAAAGAAACAACTCTCCAAAGCCCTTGTATAATACTGTTTTAAATCAGGCAGCTTTCTCAAAGAAACCCTCTCCTTAGATGGCTTCTAAGATAAATAAAGAATCTTGCAACAAGATTCAAGTTCAACAAGCAATGACTGTGTGTCCTTTACAGCAAAGCCACATGCAAGGCCTGCGGGGGCACAGTGCGGGGAGGAAAAGCTAAACAAGGCATGTTCTGTATCTTCTAGGAACCCCGAGTTTTGGGGTTTCCTACCAACATTAGCTATCTTGCCACGAATGGCTCAGGAGTCTAAACCATTGTGTTGCTTTGGTTAATTGCCTGAGGTAAAGGCATCTCCACATTTATCCCCACAAAACAGACCTCAAGTAAAGTAAGGATTCCCAGAAAGGTTTGCCAGAAAAATCACAATTTGACGAAGCAACTAAAGTGAAATTTTGCAGCAGACAACCTTGCTGTAGACACGGGTTTCCTTTCAATCTCCTTCGCCACATTCAAACTCTGATGGTAAAAGATTACTTGTAGGTGAGCTGCCCGGTTGGCAAAGGATCAAAGTTTCCAGGTAAGTTGGAGGGTATGGCTTTCAGATCTCCTGATAGCGCCCTCAACTGAAATCATAGTTCTAAGTACAGAATCCAACCTTATTCCAGTATCCTGCCAAGCTTGTCTTTCACAGAAAAAGGGAGACAAGAATCATGTGGCAAAGCCTTAGGTTAGAACTAGATCGATCATGTTCACCTCCAGGAATTTCTATGTAAGAAGGAGATAAGCCTTTCCTCCTTGGCAGCCGAGGCTGAATGTACTCAGAAGCTTTCCTGTGGTAGACAGTCAATACCTTCCACATTCATGTTAAAGACGCAGGATGTCAGGTCCTTGTTTCTTTGCAAAAATTGGTAAACGCAGGATATCATTTTCTTTTAGTTCTAGAATGATCAGAAGGCATGAATCTGACTGTGAAAGGGACAAGAAATGAGGATTTCTGTAATGGAGTCCTATGATTTTTTTCTGGGAAAGAAAAACATATATCTATCTTTTCATGTGGC